AGGCGATTTTCGCGCGGATGTCGAGGATTTTTCGTACGATTCCATGTCATGTTTTCGATAGCATGTTACAAGGCGAGGACGTATAGTGCTCCTGCAACCATAACCCGTTGGCAGAGTAGCACTATGCGTCCTCGCCTTGTATTATTAACATGCTGTCGAAATTGAAAACATGTTAGACCATCAAGCAAGGCTTCTATAAATTAAATTATAGATTCCATACATGTAGGAATAAAAATCGGCCTACAAGTAGTACATTGGAAAGGCTTTGGAAAGGCTTCCTGTCTGAAGCCTTTCCATACTGGTACTCGATGTTCCAGTTTTGTGACACGAGAATGGCACGAGAATTAGTGTACCGCTGAGTGTACCGCTATACACGTGGTCGACACGTAGTCGACACCTTGTTGATACTTTTTTGACACGTGACCCCGTCAACGGTCTGCTTTGTGCCAATGCCACTCGGTAAACGCCGATGTCGCGTACGACAAAGACGACTATCCCGTACGCGAAATAGTTGAGAATTGCATGACGTGGACCTGACGGCAAGGACAACTGCGAGGAGGCCCCTTTCGGCACCCCTGACGGGAAGGAGAACTGCAGAAGTCGACGAAGTCGAACGAGGAGGCCCCTTTTCCGTACCCCATACTGCAAAGTGCCATTGATGGATACCTTTTGCACCTGGAACGACCCCTTAAACGCTGTCGCGGCGACTATCCCGTACGCGAAATAGTTGAGAACTGCTGACGTGGACCTTTTGCACCTCGGCCCCGTAAACGCTGTCGTGTCGGCGGAGTGAATGTGCAGGGTACTACCAAGAGTACATAACCCCCCAGAGTGTGCAACGCCTGATCCAGCTCTGTGTAGGGTCTTGGTCGAGCGGAATCGGGTCTTTGCGTCATAATACCGTACACATCTGAGGGGAACCCGGGGAGTCGCGGGTACTCTTGGATCAAAAACAATGGTGCCCTGCCTCGAGACCGGCCTTGCGCTGGTGTGAAGTGTACGCATGACATCAGAAGATCCGATTCCGCTCGACCAAGACCCTACACAGAGCTGGATCAGGCGTTGCACACTCTGGGGGGTTATGTACTCTTGGTACTACCAAGAGTAGATAAACACTGTTTATCTACTCTTGGTACTACTACTAGGGTGAAAAGAATTGCTGCAAAGACGTCCCCTCTACTAGGCTCTTGGCCTTTGCCTTTGGAGACATGGCGAACTGAATGCGCAGGGCGAAAAGAATTGCTGCAAAGACGTCCGCTCTAGGCCTTTGGAGACATCGTGGGAACTCCTTCCGGTACTATACAAACTGCTGACGTGGCCGTGGACATGTACATGGAGAGTCATGGTGGGACTTCATGTACATGTGGGAATTCCTTCCGGCACCCCCGTACCGCAAAGCCAACGGTGGGGAAGGAGAAGTGCAGACGTGCAGGAAGACGAACGAGGAGGAACCAGGACGAGCGAGCAATGGCAGGACTAGCTGGACCGTAAGTAATAGCTGAATTGTGCATGACAACTTGACATCCATGCGGCACTCGCCACTTGCCACTGCATATTTCTTGTCCACTAACAATGTCTCTCCTCTGCCCCCTGTGTGTCCACGGCCCTGTTGCTGAATTGGCCCGATGAATCGAATGTCTTCCGCAACTGGAACGGCCCCGTGAACGCTGTCGCGTCGGCGACTGAATGCGCAGGAGGGAAAATATTGCTGCGAAGACGTCTCCTCTAGACGACGGTAAGGCACCCCATTGATATGTTGCCAGTGTGTGCCAGGGTATCGCGCGATGGTGAATGAGGAATGATGAAGGGTACGGTGGGACTGTAGACCTGTTACCTTCTACTAAGGCTGTGTTTACATGAAGCGTTTCAACCCGGGTTGAGTTCGACCCGGGTCAGATTTCAACCCGCCATGTGCACAAAATGAATGGCGCGTTCACATGACGCATTGCGCTTGACCCGGGTTGAAATTTCGCCCCGGGTTGATTTCAACCCTCCCCCCAAGGGGAGGGTTGAAATCAACCCGGGTCAAGAAAATCGTACAAACGTACTTCTGTGCGTATCTCGCGCCAGGTTTGAACGGCACTGCAGATGCAAATTTCGCGCGAACGGATTCACGTGACCATACAGGACTGTAGAAGTGGACTTTTGGCGGCATATAAGTATTTGACCCGGGTCAACTGTCTTCATGTAAACACTCACCTCTTTTGTCTATCGTACAGACTTTCAACCCGGGCTGAACTCGACCCGGGTTGAAATTTCTCATGTAAACACAGCCTAACACGTTATCAGGTGGAGAGTGTCTTGTACTCACGTTATCAGGTCGAGAGCGTATTGTAGTCACTCTCTCTATTCCTGTACTTCATTACGTTTAAGGTGTACGTATAACTTCTCAAAAAAATTTAATGGTCTACAGTCGTGTCGGAAGGGTACGGTGGGACTGTAGACATGTTACCTTCTAACACGTTATCAGGTGGAGAGTGTCTTGTACTCACGTTATCACTATATCAGGTCGAGAGCGTATTGTAGTCACTCTCTCTATTCCTGTACTTCATTACGTTTCAGGTGTACGTATAACTTTTCCAAAAAACTTAATGGTTCACGTCTTCAGATAGAGAGCGTATTGCACCCACTGTCTAGTCTCTGTAGTGCATTGAGATTTTGTTGATCGAACATGAAATGGATACACAGACAAAGCCAGGCCAAGTACATGGCGAGATGTCGCCAGAAGAACGTCTTCAGGTAGAGCGCGTATTGCACCCACTGTCTAGTCGATTTTGTGGATCGCACATGAAATGGATACACAGACAAAGCAGGCCAAGTACATGAGAGAGTGGACGATGTGCAGATCGACACGGCCTGCGGGTACTTCATTAAAGTTACCCGTGACACAAGGATAAAAGTTAATCACTGCAAAAACATTGCCAAGGATGTGAGCACTTTGGACTTGACAGAAGAGTGCACGGGCGACGTTGACAAAACATACTGCGGTGACTGTCACTATCATGACAGCAGGGCACATCGCACGCAGCATCGCAGATCGTGTCGAATTGCGCATCATAATATTGCAAAATTGCTCCTGTGCATGCAAGTGGATTTCATTGCACTTCTCAGTTTGGGAAATGCTCGATTATGACAATTCTCTGTGTGAGTGCACTAGCCCTGAACAGACATGTAGGTGAACCGTTTGTGGTGTCTCATAGCCTACCTCACGACCTTCTGCTTTCTTTCTTCATCACTTGTATCTTGCAGGTATATCATCCCGTGACGCCCACATTAAAGTCTGAATTTGAAGTGTGAAGATGCTTAAGCAACCACATCGTACTTTTCCATTGCTTTCATTGTGCTTCTACTGTGCATGTGTGTAACTTGTGGGGTAAACATGTGATGACATTGTATGCTGGCGACACGGTCAGATGTTCATGCGTCTAACGTACACCTGCATGTTATGCATTGAAAAGGGTTTTTCACTTGCGATCCTGGGACGAGTATCAGGTCCGCTTTGTCCTGTGTGGGCTGTATCAGATTGCTGCTCACTTCTCTATCTGTTGGATATGTGACTTTCTGCAAGTTTCTGGTGTATGATGGCCACGTCCTTGCTTGTCACTTTGTATGATATTACATTCTGTATTCGCTGCTTCCATGGCATGGTCTGCAAACTGCAATCATTGGGCAAATGTCATGTTTGCTATGTTGTGCTTTGGCCGTCAGCTTGTCTACACGCTGTAGTTGAATTATTTTTGTTTCACAACTGACTTCCTCAAGTACGGTGGCCACTGCTTTGCATGGCATTATACATGAAGAATTTCCTGTTTGTGTCGTGTGCATGTGCGTATGTGTGCGTGGCCACGTGTGTGTGCCGTGTGCATACACATGTTTGTGTATCTGTGTGCGGGGTAGCGAGGCGGGGAGGGCTGGTATGTATCAGTGTGTTATTGCAGTCGCATGGCTACATACAGTACATCGCGCGTGTGGTCATCATGTTTACCTTCGGGGTTGGGGTGGGGAGGGAACGGAAAAAGAGCTGAAATTATCCATATAAAAATCGCTCTGTGAGCGGTTCTGAAAAACCTTTACTGGTACTGCCCCGTCGTAAAAGTAAGAAATTAGAACTGGCCCATTGTCCCCCCAAATGCGAACTGATCCACCTAAATCGCGAATGACGGGACCCGAACGCACCAGTAGCACGAGGTTCCTACCTGTGGATGCAGATGGGGACGTTGGTCCGGACCATAGGCCATGTACTGTACTAGCGGTAGGCTTCCCTATCAAAATAATAAATTCTACTGCTACTACTGGTGTTACCCTATGATAATTGCCGTGATCCTGTGCCCTCCCGACCTCGTGCTACTGGTGCGTTCGGGTCCCGTCATTCGCGATTTAGGTGGATCAGTTCGCATTTGGGGGGACAATGGGCCAGTTCTAATTTCTTACTTTTACGACGGGGCAGTACCAGTAAAGGTTTTTCAGAACCGCTCACAGAGCGATTTTTATATGGATATTATACATACAGTCATGTATAGTGCAGACAAGGCATAAGACCAGGTGAAAAAGAAGAAGACTTGCCACCAGGGAGTCGTACCCAACTCTCTGCTTGCCACCCACCGGTGCACCCCCCCCCCCCCCCCCCCCAGGCAAGGCAGCATAGCAGAAGAGAACATGTTCTCCCATTTCAACTGCAAAACCCGCCCAAATGTGTGAATCTGTGTCCCTGCGAATTCCATGGTAGGATGAGAAAGCTCCAAAGTCCATGTAGAATTCAGCATGGAAAATGAGCACACAAAGAATTTGGCTGCGGAACACACATGTACAGATCTCCAGAAAAAGCATTTTCTCGTCCTTTTCCGCTATACCCGTAGAATTTTCTATACAATTTAATTCTGCGGACACTACCCGTACAGGATTCTGGGGAAAATTCACAGTCGAGGACATATGAATATGCCTAGCGCCATGCCAAGCACTCCGCATTCCGCCCCAACAAAACAACAAGACATTTCTGTTGATCAATGTACAGCACAGTTCTACATGTCAGCCAGGAGACAAATCATCCAAATGCTTACAAACCTATGACAACAAGTCTCAAGTCAAGTCCAAACCTGCAGGCGGTATTGGCTCAAACAAAAGAAGCGGGAGAAGAAGAAGAAGAAACAAAAACACGCAGTGAAGAGAGAGAGAAGAACATCGTCGCAGAGCAACACAACGCACATTGCAATGAAAAAAAAGGGGAAACAAGGGTGATAAAAACTAGAAAATTCACTGGAAAATGGAAACGCAGCACAGAGATACGAAGGGAAGAGGCTACTCGTGCGCGCCCAATAAAAGAGGACAAACTATTCATATGGTATTCAAAGCAGGCCAGGAGGACAAGGAGCCGCAGGGGAAATCAATGGAAAAAAAAGAACTGGAAGAAGCATTTATTGGCAGCCGATACAGCTGGCACTGCGGTCAACTCCGAGCATCAACGGAGTCTGGTTAAATGCTGTTTGGTAAACAGGAACATACGCGCCCCATCAGGCGGCAGCTACGCGCAAACGGAGCTATGGAGTCTGCGGCGAAGAGTATCAGCGGCAAATTCGAATAGTGCAACGGCCAGGGAAACGCAGCATCGCATCTCGCTGGCAGCCACGTCAGCCGCACCGAGCCAGAAGACCCTGGTTATGAAGAGACTAAGCGGGAGTGCGGGGACAATGGGGACCATGGGGCACAGTGTAATAAGGAGAGCAAGTACAGAATGGATAATAGGATTATGTCGGACAGATGCTGGCTGGAAACGGTTAAGACATGTTTTAAGTTCCAATCAAAGATACAAATAACGCCCTTCTAGCGAAAGACTATTGAAAAACTACCGAGGAGAAATGGCTCGTATGTCACGGGAGCTGATCGCGCCATAACTCTCGAGCGTCTTAGAAAACACAGGACTACAAAATAAGGAGAACGCATAGCCATCCGCCGAAGCAACCGAACGGCTTGCCAGGCAAGATTACCATAACTACGCGGCCACGGTACACATGGCAGGTTTCTATAACACTAGCACGGAGCCACAGGTCAGGCCCACAGCGAACAGGTGCTTGTCCAATGTCGTCTCCAGGACAGTGTCGTTTCTAGGCTAAGGCACTCGGTGGGAGAACGCTCTGCTGGCCTGGCCAGCAGAGACCCAGACTGAGCCGATCCTGCCGTCGTCTTGGGATACGGGCGCCGGGCAACACATAAACTATCACTAAGAAGGTACAGGCTATGAAGCGATGGCTCGGGCTACACCCGAAGTGAGCTACAAGTCACGGTGGCTACTACTTGGAATTAAATACGTCGTCCGTTGAACAAACACCAACGCCTAAGCGTTACGAGGCACGCACCGCACCGGTGTCAAAATTATACGCGCAGACAGTGGCCCCGAATGGCAATGAAGACATGGGCTGTCTACTGTCTACTGCATGAATTAGTTGTTGTGACCGGCATGGCGCGCTTACAAACCTCGGTACGGTCCCTGTGTGCGCAAGAACTGAATGATGCCGGAGGGACCGGCCTCCACATACTGGGGTGGCAGGTGCCGCAGTGGGCACCCTTCAATGCTCATCAGCGCTAGCCGACGGCAGAGAGCCAGCTCAAACGGCAACATCTGCAAGTCGCAGTTGTCATTCAAGTACAGCTCTTCCAGAGACTCCAATGTACCTGTAGACAGAGCAAAGCACGAAACAAACTGTATCAGACACCAGCCAAATGGAGCATACTGATATAGTGCGACACAAAAACACAAACATAATAAAATGGCATGTGGAGACAAGGGGAGCAGAGATGAGTGCAATGCACATGTATTGCAACAAGAGGTCATGCATTTTACTGTTGTTGTTTCTGCTCCCCCCCCCCCTTATTCTCTAATATTTCATTTTCTATCACCTTTTGCCTTGAACAAGAAGGCATTGCTTGCGAGTAGCCTAAAGTTCAATTTTGATAAGTGAGAGCATAAACTACTCATACACTGTAAATCTCTGTAGCCGCAACCAAAACGACGACACAGTGGAGAAACAGAGGAAGAGGAGGGAGCTGTGAAGAAGGGGTGTGCACACATCCATTAAAAAAGCTGATACATGGATTTCCCCCCATAGAGAGGGGAGAGAGATTCACAAGAAATCCTGGAAAGATGACTCAATTGATGATTGAAGCAGCCGACAACCCCCCCCCCCCCCCAAGACAGACACGGCAACTCACCGATTTCTTCTGGTAGGTACTGCAGCTCGTTCTCCCCGGCACTGAACTGGCGCAGGTTGATGAGATGACCAATACCACGCGGCAGTTGCCTGATGCAGTTGGACTGGATGTTCAGTTTTTCCAGCATGGTCAGGAAACCAATCTCAGCTGGCAGTGAGTCAAGCTTGTTGCCTTCCAGGTCGAGCTGAGTGAGGTTTCGCAGGAAGCCAATTCCCTTGGGCAGATGCTACAGCAAGAAAGCACCAAGATACACATCATATCGGTGCTTAGTACAATAGCACGTGTCCTCAGGAGCAGCACATAACAGGTCCAGACAATTTTCCAAACCGAGTCAAGAGCCACAACGACAAGCAGCAAAGCAAGCCAACACAATAGCCCCATGTGACACAGTAACACGGCAAGACCCCCTTCCCACAGCACTACAATTTAAAACCAGTGTTGCCACATCATTTTAGCCAAATATCAGTAGGATAAAGAAATAAAATGCATCATCCGGGGGGGGGCTTGCCCCGGACCCTATCTTAGTAACCATGGTATACACACGCACACATAGGGCACTCTTTTTAAAAGAAAAAATCGACAGTTCTGCGTGAAACTCCGATCGAGTTTTCCTATTTCTCCCGAGACTGATGATGATTTCGCTTAGCACCCTAGGAAACAGCTACCCATGAAACACTCATGATGACCAGTAACAGCCAACATCTGGATCATGACTAGCTAGTCTTCTAATCTAAACAAAGTAGAAGGGCAAAATTGGACATTTCATGGCTGTTGTCGGCAGGTCGTGATATAATGGATACGGACTATAGATCTAGAGAGGCATTATATAAGATGTTCGACACCAAAACAGCAGGACAGGTGTATTTTCAAGGGGTAAGTGAAAACCAAATGAACAATGTCTGACGGGGCACGAATGGCAGGAGTGCAGAGAGGAACAGGTGATTGGATTCCGCAAACAATGACTCACCCGAATGGAGTTCTGCGCCAATACCAGGACCTGCAGCTGAGTCAGACATTTGATGTCCTCGGGAAGCTTGGCAAGCTGATTGGATGCCAGGTTTAACTCCAGAACGTACTTCCACTCACCAAAGTCTCTCGGTAATGAGGGAATCTGATTGCCGGCAAAATTTACTTTAGTCTGCGGGGAAAGGGGAGAAAAGAAAGGCACGATTGAAGAGAGAGAGAGAGAGAGAGAGAGAGAGAGAAAGATTACCGTAATGTCTCATCACCGGCCATATATTCAGTACACTATACATGTTGTTACTTTCAATCTGTCTGGCCCAGCAAACTAGTGGTCAGACCCTGCGGATCCACTGACTTGAACGGGGTAGTGTTCCATAGTAATAGACACCCGTAGCAAAAAACGGTAACGCTATTTTTTACGGTACTCGTACCTTGATCACCCAAATAGCGTTGAAGCTGCAGCGTAAAAACGTTACAGGGGCTGATTTATCGTTGTGACCAACGGTGCGTTTTTGGCCAAATATTGCATAGTCCGTACGCAGTTCACCTTGTATCGCGTATATGGTAAAAATAAATGGTTGTACCGTGCGAACTAAAAGCTATTCTCATGGCAACAGCGTACTAAAAATAGCGTGCATCTTGCTAAAGGTCGAGCCCAAATCACGGTATTTCCCCCCTTACGGTAATACCGTTACAACATAACGTTGTTTGCTAAGGGTGTCTAATATCTAACAATTCATTGCACTCCCAACTCATCACAACCACGCGCTCTTCAGCCGAACCATTCAGACACCAGCAAGTGTCCTTGCTGGTGTCTGAATGGTTCAGCTGAAGAGCGCGTGGTTGTGATGAGTTGGGAGTGCAATGAATTGAAAATATGGCCGAAAGCTCTGTCGCAATATTTAGTTCTAATATCTAACAAGACCGATATATTTGAATGTCAAGCAATGTTTCGCCGCATAGTGCAGAGGATGTTACAGCCATGTGAGAATTCGTGACCGGGATTCGGACATGATGTATGCGACAAATGGGATTCGGCATGCGTGTACTGGCTGCAAGACTTGTGTGCCCTCGCCCCTAATGTTAGCGATCTGCGATCAGTCGCTAGGATTCAGTAGAATGAGGTGTTAGTGGTCCAGCCTAAGTGAAATCACGGGCTTGATGCACATGGATCACTGGATGAGTACGACTCGCGTAAGGTTGGGGACACTCAACATCGCACAGCCTATACAATGCACTGCCATATACTGTAAAGCGATAAACATTTACGGCGCGCAAATTTGGCGTTTTCCAGAATCGAGCTGGTTCACGATGAGAAACTTTCGCGATTTGATCTCTTCAGGTGGATTTTGTACTGTCTGTAATCAATGCACAGAGCAGTTTGCGGCGATTTATATTCGCGAATGTGTGATGGTCACGAAAATAGCGAAATTGTTCTCTAGCGAAAGTTTCTCACTTAACAGTAGCAGTTCTGCTGGATAAGGCCACCCTTTCTTTTTTCGTTGTTTAACGTCCGCGCCCGCGTACCTTTTTGCCTCCGACCGGAAAAAAACAAGAAAGTAGTAGTACCAATAATATGCGAAGTTGTAAATACATGATTGTGTAGTTTCACAGTGTGCCGATGATGACCTTAACCCTTTATGTACCAGCCATCTAATGTATGTAAGGGGCTATCGCAGCCAAAGAAGCAACCATGGTATGAAATCTAGACAACTTTTGTATATGCAAGTTGTGTTTTCCTGACTCCATATGTATCACTGCACCCAGGTAAGCATGGATATTGGTACAGCATGCAGTAGTATATGAAGGCCATAGGTGGAATACCAAAGATACGCGCCAATTGTGCATATTTCTGACCAACCAGGGTATCACAAACAAATAGACTGAGAATTAGTTTGTGCTCTTGTACTGGGAACATAGGGACAAAACAACCTCATAAGCGTTGTCTCAGTGCATGAAGAGTAACAACATACCAGGGAAATGGTCATATTTTCACACATTTGAGGTAAAACAATTGGTTCAAAATTGCAAATTTTGAATTCTTGTCTCACATTCGAAATCTGTATTTTTCTTCATCTACACACATCCAGCGTCAGGTAAGTGAAAGAGAAGACAAGAAGCAGTCGCTGGCTGGTGAATTACGCCTGCCTTGACGATTTTAGGCCATCGCTGCCCTCTCTCTCGCTCCTGTTTTGAGAGCGAATACTGCGATGGGATCAGCGATACAAATTTTCAATTTCGAGTCGCATTCCGCGATGATATCGCCACAGCCGATCTCTCCAATCGTCCACCACGTCTAGAAGACGTCGACATGACCTAGACCAAGCTACATCTTCGCTACAAGCAGAGAAACTGAGCGAGAACACGATCGAAACAGCGACAATTGTTTGCGCTGAAAAGCATACTTTTGAACGCGTTCGTTCTCCATACTTTCAAATGGCAACCTACCCATGTCATACATCAAAATTTTCAGTGGGATCTCAGCTGTCAAGCGCAAAAAACCGCGGGTCGATCGGAGCTACGGCGGCGGGGAACGGCGCGCTTGATTGGAGTGCAGCGAACCGTACCATATGGTACGGTTCGAGATGGGGCTGGTACACAAAGGGTTAACCCTTTCACGGTCTCAGAATCCAGTCGAAATGAGGCTATTTACAGAATTCAACAATTTCGTACCTTCATTCATCCATAACTTCAGTTTCCCTTCGCTGATTTTCATGATCTTGGGCTCTCTGGAAAGCTCTGGACACGAGCAACACGCCGAGCTACAATTCGACACCAAGCGTGCCGTGGATCCAGCGCTGCAGCGCAGCGACATCGCCCCAGTGCTTGATTCACGACGAGAAACAAGATTCAACAGCCATTTCCCTCTCCTTGCTCACACCGAGCTCACATTTTTTGTGAGGAGTGCTGCGAGTCCATACTCTCATTTGAATCCGTGTCTCTATGGCGACAGCTAGCTGCAAAGGGAAAAACCCGTCCTCAAGACCCAGCTCGCCCACTCAAATCGCAAATGAGCCGTGACGCAGATCGCGAGCTTCGTAGCATCGCAGCCGTTCACTCTATCGCTTCGGCGATTGTTCCTACGGATAGCCTGGAGCTTTCTCTTCAACCTAGATATTTAGATGTTCGAATTTGCTCAAATATTGACTGAGTTACGATAGTTTGAAAAAATCGATCACCGGTGATCGATTTTCAAATGTGAGACCGTAAAAGGGTTAAACTTATAATCTTGCCTCCCGGGCATGCCTTTGTCTTGTGTTCTTTTTCTTTTTTTGTTGGCTTTTAAATATCGTACGGTGTGTGCCCTAGGGCGCGTTTGGTTGGTAAGAACTAGAACAGGATTCACCAGAACAGCGCGTTTGGTTGGGACTGCACCTGTTCTGGGTCGGCCAGAACATGTTCTGGTTGCTCCGGCCTCAAGGCCGGAGCAGACCGAGCAGTTTCACTTTTTCACAGTGAAACCTGGCGGGAACATCGATTTTGGTCCCAAATGATCACGTGCATACGCTTTTGGGTTGGACTCGTTGTACCGTACAAGTGACCATGGTGACCCATACACATTTTGAAGAATGCACCAAGTTTGGCACATTTTTCCACAAAAATGTGCTCTGTTTCTGGAGTACCGTTTGGTTGGCATGAGGCTGCTCCATGTGCACCAGCTGTTCGATCCTGTTCTAGATCGTACCAACCAAACGCACCCCTAGTAAAAATCCAGATGTAATGAATTCATGACATGCTAACTCCATGCTATGTACCTGTTTTGTTGGATTCATCAGGCATGTGCTCCAATGTACCATCAAAGAGTGTTGTTCTATGCCTGCAAGTGCCGTTAGACCCAGAAATATTTGTATATTATATCACATGCTTTACTGGTCAAAATGTTTGATTGGGGTTTCCAGTTTTTGGAATGGGCTTTTGTTTTTTTTCCGCCCTCCCGCGTACCTTTTCGCGAAAAAAGGACGTTAACCCATTGACTGCTGAGCCCGAATATATTCGGGATTCAGGATGACGTCAGGGCGCTGAGCCCGAATATACTCGGGCTGACAGGCTATCCTACCGTACTAAGCTCCGTGTTCCAGAGTAGGGTTGCAAGAGACCCCAGAGTCGAGCGGTACATTTCCTGCATTCGGTACGAGAGGTGGCGGGTACGAATCCCGCTTGGATACTTTTTTTCTTCTTTTTCGTCCGGTGATTCAACTCAAATTGGCGACTTTTTCGTATTTTACGCAATTTGGATGAACTTACGTGTCATATAGCATTTTGTTCCCCTTTCTAGGAACTATATCGAGTTGGTCAGCGTGATGATTATAGCCTTGGTCAACATTTCACAAGAGTTCAACAACCTAGTTGCCTAGACTATGAAGTTGTGGAGCTTTACATTGGCCATATTTTTAGCATTTTCTTCAGAGCCTCAGATGAAAGGCCCTGTAGCCCTCAATGGGTTAAACAATGAATTAACAAAGGGTGGCCTAAGATAGAGATATGTATATGCTTGAACTGACAGTAGTAGCAGCTTATAAACTGGTAGTAGAGAGCAATGTCTTACCAAGTATTTCGCTGTCAGGAGCATGCCTTCCGGAATATCTGTAATTTTGTTGTGGTCGCAGTTGAGGGCCTAAGCAGAGGACGACAACATTCACAAAGGCCGTTGTGAAATACACGAGCAGTAACGACTGTCTGGGTTTAGTAACACAGGGATAACCACTGCGTGGCTAACAGTGGTTTTCAGCGTGAGAGCAAAACAGAATGAGGAGCCAGCACCATGGATCACAGAACACAGCAGTCAGGGGCGGTTCATTCACGTGTCGCACTATCCCTGAACCAGTAGTGCACCAAACACTGCCTACCTGGACATCCTCAAACATAGATGGCGGGCCTGGTGGCACTGCCGTGAACTGGTTCCGCGATAGCTGTACAATCTCGACTTTCTTCAGATGAGACAGCAGGTCATTCTGTAAAAGAAAACAGCATACAAACACAAGTAGCGTAAGTAACTTTTTAGATTTTCGGTTAACAGTTTGATTTTTTCACACAGAGGACGGGCACTGCCTGAAAGCTGTGAGAAGACCAAAACATTCTCGGCAAAGAGTGATAAAGTGGTACCAATTGCTGCGACTCAGCGAGATGGACCATTCGGAAGTTAATTTTTCGGCCAGGTCTAACAATGGATAAGTGTGAAGACATGCAGGTCCAAACCCATTTCAGGAAGATTTAGAACACGGTGTGGTGAGCCTAATTCGGTCTAAATCGGATTTGAGAAAGTCCAGAGATTAATAATTATGTGTGAATGGACTGGAAACGGCTGCATTGGAGCGTGCAGATTTACAGAAAAAGAAGAAGAAAGGTAGGTAAATATCAATACAAGCTGAGAAATGTGTGCCCTGACAGCACACCACCCAAGCACAGAAATCTGACATCGTGCAACTTACCGGCAGCTCAACCATCTTGTTCTGCTCGGTGTTGAATTCCTCCAACAGCGTGCAGTTCTGAATGGAAGCGGGCACTCCGATCAGCTTGTTATATCTGAACGTTCAAAAACAGTAAGAACTCAGATGATGAGCCAAGGAAACAATTATTGCACCATGGAAAAATGTGGGCACAAGTTATGCGATCGAGTTCACCGGCTAAACCAGATTTTGAACAATGCACGTTTGACTGTTCAAAATCGGGCTTAGTTGGTGGACTCTATCTCATAACATGTGCCCACATTTTCCACGTCACAATTGTTCAAATACATGGAAGGAAAAAAGCATGAGTCACGAAGGAAACTAGTAGTCCTTGAACTAGTATTGGCCAAAGAAAGGGACATGGTTTGCTAATGTAGCACTGCAGTCCTCACAGGGTTCAACCTTCGACGTCCAGTACCACCACATGAAAAGGACAACTGCAATAGGCATTCTTGACCAAATTCAGTGGACATAAAACATCGCTCATACTACTGACCACACTCTCTTGGCCGTAAGTTATGCACCCAAATTTGCTGCAGACCGCGGAATAGTGTTTTCACAGGAAATGCAAAAATTAAGTGCGACCTAAATGCAGCTGCAATCCATGGCAACTACCAGCATGACCCCAAAATGTAGCTAAAGGTTTCGACAAAAGCCAAGCCTGCTTCTAAACGCCGATGCAGCGTATCGAAAGTTGGGAGTGACCAGATAGAACGGAGCAATGGCAGATAAAGAGCATGCGTTCCATACCTCATTCCCAAACGCTTGAGCTGTGTGCAGTTGCCGATCGATTCTGGGATGGTCTCCAGCTCGTTGTGCTGCAGTTCCAGAGTAGCGAGCTTGACACAGTTACCGATGCCTAAAACAAACGCAAACGAGAGAGGCCAAGCGCAAGGTCAACTCCTGAGGAATTGGGCACACTTCACCACCATGAGTATAAGCCAAGAAACCCCATATAAATATTACGAGGTGATTTGTAATAATTTTACACGAAAGTAAAAAAGGCTATCATTCCTAGCCCTGTCGAGTTTTGAAGTGTGCATGGTCTCATTCTGTCACTATGTATGTCCTCTATCCATGTATGGACTTCTTGATCGAACACCACAAACATGAGAGACACAGTGTGGGGTTGCTTTGCATGCATTTTTTCACCCAGAAAAAGTGTGTACAAAATTTTACAAGTCAGTAAAATAGGGTCTAACATCAACAAATATGACCTGAATGTGTCAACAACCTTGCAATGGGAAATCAAAATACATCTGAAGCAAGTCACATGCAGAGAAAGCAGACTGGTTTTGCAGGTTGCCCTACGTATTGGTTTCTGTACGTCGTCAACTGCGGTTCCAAACGGTAGGGTATCTTTGACCGCTTGCCGGCATTGTAGAGCATGAGCACGCAGACCTTATCTTGCTGCTCCATTTCTTTCAACTTGCAGTGCATCCTCAGGCGTGAAATAACCACACGAAGCAAAGATACCATCCATGATGCGCGCCAGCCGTCCCACGACAGGGTGCCTTCGTGCATCTGGACCACAGTGCATTTAACCGGCGCATACTGACAATGTCGGGGCTTCCATACTCTCCAAGACAAGTGCAGTGACTCCTTCACCTGATTCATATACTTCTGTGTTGGAAGAAGACTGCAGACCACCCTCAATGGGTGCTCCGCCGTCAACACCCAACATACATTCATGCCGCATTTCCTGCATTTGCACTTTGCCATCGTGAATCTCTACCAGCACTTCTGAGGTAGCAAGCTGAGTTTCATACGTAGATTTACTGAACAGCTAATTATTTACCTGTATGCCATAAGCATCAGCAGCTTCGGACTTGGATTTGAATCACCTTTCATGATAGGTGAGTGAAAGACACCTTTTGCCAAAATTGCAGTTTCTGACCATCACCTTTTTGGCTAATCTCTTCTTCAGCCCTGCTACTTTGACGGTGTGACAGACTCAATGCTGGCATCGGTGACCAGCCTAGGGTTTCCACCTGCCGTAGAATATGCTCGCTGGCTCTTGGACGTCCTTCAAGCATCCATTGAGGGATATTACCTCATTGACCACAAATTCACGAATTACGATCCATGATTGATATCTCACAAGGCCGTGGAAGAAACAAAATCCGCTATACTCTGCTGATGCTTACAAACTACAATATAATGGCAACTCACTTGTCTGTCGAACTAACAAAAACACTTCACGGGAAGAATGCAATCGCTCTCAACAATGATATTTTACTCGATTTGTAAAATAATATGCCATGTAATTTTTTTACAAATCACCTCGTAGTGGCCTCAATTACTGAGTCGTAGAGCAAAGCAAAGGCACAGCAAATGCATACAACGGATGGGGAGCTATGGGCCAGACCAGCCTCACTCACAACTGGGCATGAAGTTAGCAGAGCATGACCAGAACAAGAATATCATAATTATAATACAATAAAGTACAGATTGTAGAACCATAGAAGGGAAAGGCAACGATACAATGTAACCAAATCACGCACGCACGCGCGTGAACACACACATGCATACACGCACGCACACACACAGGGGAAGTCCTTACTTTCCGGTACTGACTCCAGCTGGTTATGACTGACGTCGAGTGTGACCAGGTTTCGCAATCCGCCTACAGTGCACACAGGCCGGCCGCACACAACCCACCAGCATCATTAGTTGAAGCTAATGACTACCATGCCAGCATATGTGCTAAGAAGTCTTCAAACACAACAAATACTACAACAAAAAGAAGAAGACAAGAAGACACTAAGAAATTCGTGGAAAATGGATTATAGAAGATGGGGGAGGGGTATCAATTGACAACCGCTCTATCCAGTTGCCGTTCACTCTGCGCTGAACTATTGAAAATTAGGTTTATTGACAATGTAAAAATAATTGGCGTTTCGGGCCAGTCAACCCAGCAAGAAAAGACAACATGCAGTAAAAGCATAGTTGTCGAGGATCGCGTCAAGAAGTTCTCGCAGGGCAAAACAAGTTGAAGAAATCCAATCACAGGAGAAAATACGAGTCATAGTTTAATGGTGGTGCGACAATAGTGTAAGACCAAGTGCTCACCGATTCCTTCTGGAAGCTCCTTGATACGGTTCTCGCGTAGACTTAACGTTGTCAAGCTCTCCAGCTGCTGGATCGTGGAAGACATAGAGACTATCCGGTTGTAGCGGAGAAAGAGAGTCTGCAACGCCTTCAGTTCATACACTACCGCGGGAACCTAAAAGAGTGGATCCGAGCAAAGAAAGAACAGCATAAACATGGATGGGTTCGCAATCAGCTAGTAGAAACTCAATGAGTGATCAGTGATGAGAAACGCAAAGAGAAGCTCAGTACAGGATCATTGAAGAGGGTTACCATGCACAAGAATACTGTAATGTCGAGTATTAAAGCCGGGCTTATTCCCGTAGCTATGCAAAAGACGTTACTGAAGTAACGTCTGGCGCCAGCAGGGTCCAAACAACTTTAATTTCTGTAGAAGCCAATGCCAGTGCTAGGCATCTATTCAAGTCGGGCTTGTATTCGAACCAGGTATTTCCATGTATGTCAACACTAAAACCAAGCTCATGAGAAGACAATGAATTTTGAAAATCAGGCTGGTATTCAAAACAGGCTTCTATACCAGACAGGCTGTAATACCAGACACTACAGTCGGTGCCATGAGGTGGAAGTTCCACGTCGCCAGGATTGCCTGCAGTATGACAAGCTGATCTACACAATGTGCCAGTTTCTACTTGTAATGCCGAGACATGAAGACAACAGTAGCAGCGTATGCACCGACAATTCTCACCTCTCTTAGCTTGTTATGCCGACAGTCAAGAACATGCAGGTTGGTCAAATTCTTCATTTCAGCTGCACACAATATAACAGGAGAACAGTTCATGAGAAGTGGAGAACATATAATGGGTACTTTGAAGGGCAACCGATCCGGGGGTATCAGAAACCAGCAGGCAGAAAAATGAAGGCATTCTTGATAAATCCCGAGTCCTCCTGAGGAAAAAAGCATAGCCTCACAAAAAAGGAACTGAGAACACACACACACCACAGAGAGGGAGAGAGAGAGAGAGGGAGAGAGAGAGAGGGAGAGAGAGAGAGAGAGAGAGAGAGAGCGAGTCAGAGAGAGCGAGTCAGAGAGAGCGAGTCAGAGAGAGCGAGTCAGAGAGAGCGAGTCAGAGAGAGCGAGTCAGAGAGAGCGAGTCAGAGAGAGCGAGTCAGAGAGAGCGAGTCAGAGAGAGCGAGTCAGAGAGAGCGAGTCAGAGAGAGAGAGAGAGAGAGAGAGAGAGAGAGAGAGAGAGAGAGAGAGAGAGAGAGAGAGAGAGAGAGAGAGAGAGAGAGAGAGAGAGAGAGAGAGAGGACCACAGACAAACACTGCGCATCAACAAACGAGCAGCTCACATGGCAGGGTGGTCAGGTTATTCTCATTGATCCCAAGCATTCGCAGGTTCTTGAGATTTCCGATCTCCGGCGGCAAAATGGCAATTCGGTTGCCATAGCAGTACAACTCCTCCAAATGGTGCAACTAAAGCAAAGGTTAAAGAATGGATAGTTAGAAAATTAGACAACTTTGGTGGCACAAAATAATGAACAATAGGTGAAAATAATAACATTTAGAACACCCACACATATCCATCCACTAAGATTCCGCAGTTTTAATAGGGCAATAGAGAGGTTCCGGGGTACGATTTTCCGTGCCAAAATCCGTGTGGGCGCTACGGATTTTTTCCAGGCGAGCTCCATACGATTTTTCGGCACGGAGAATCCGTGTGGACTGGCTTTCACACGAACCATGTTTCGTATGGAGATTTTGCGTCATCGGGTGCAGAAAGATTTTTCGCGTACAAATTTGGTACGAGAAACATGGGTTTTCCGCGGGAAGTTTTGATTTCGGTACAAATTTTCAAAATAAAAAGGCATAGCGCGGGAATGTGACGTGTTTGCGATCGTAACCTAGGCAATGACGGCAAACACATAAGTTCCGTACTCCGGAACATTTCACTGCTCGAAAACGACGTATAAAAAATCCGTAGCGCCTCTACGGATTTTGGCACGAAAAATCGTACTCCGGAACCTCCCTATTAAATGCTGAAATGGTTGTGTTGTGTAGCAAGGCATCATGATAACTTCTCACACTATTTCTTATGTGGAATGGTCCCTTGGATTGCGCCACTTTGGCGAATATTATTATAGTGTGCAGTGCCTGTTTTGATTCTGGTAGACCGTCCCAATATCCTGTATATCACTACAACCAATTACATGTATTGGGCACTTTAGATTACACATTCTGGACCCAGGTCTTATAATTCTCGACTGAACAGAATGAACGGATCGCGGCCATGTAAACGCCTACACGTAAGAATCGTAAAGGAAATATGTATCAGCGAACGTACTCATTGGCTATAGACTTATTGATACTTAGAATAAAGCAATTCCACCTGCACCACATGCGCTCTCTGGCTGACTTCATCACACCACTTGGAAATAGGAGTCATGTTCCTGCTGAGATGAGGTCGGCCAGGGAGGGTTTTGCTTTTGATATTTTGCTCTGTGGCGGGTTTAGGGGGGTGCACAGGGGCCTCAAAAGTTTCAACCTAGGTTTCGAAAAATAAAAGGCAGGGCTGGGGGCGCGAGCGAGGCCTGAAACGATCGTCCAAAAGCGTTTGCACGGTATGGTGCTCGAGCTGGTGTTGATTGAACACACTACAGAGTACCAGTGATCATGCCTGGCTACAGAAACACGGTGACCTGACTGTGTACACTGTTGTCCAGTGTGATCCCTGCTGGGACGCGCTCGGCGAGTCTTGAGACTTCTTTCCGCAACAATTTGTTCGTGGTGTATGAGATTTACGGCTCCTTGACATCGGTTTTCAAAATGGCTGACCTGGGACAGTAGCATGATGTCATCCACCCCCACCCCATCCCGGCCGCAACCCCCCCCCCCCCCCCCCAGCCAAATCCTGGACACGCCACTGGATATATCTTCACAACCGGTCCCTCTATAGTCGATGCAGACTGCACGTACTATGTGACTTCCATTGTATAGCACATTTGTGAGGACCATGGGTGCCCTTTTCCCAGTGTTTTGACCTCGGCTACAATGTGCAGATGTCAGGACCCGTCGAGGTGGGTTTTACTGAAGCTTCAGTATGCCCTGTCCAGTCTGCATAGCACAGCTGGGGATATGAAGCATAGTTATGCAGCTGTCAGCGGTGACCAATAACCAATAAATCGCTAGGCTGTACACTGTCACCACAGCTGAGGGCTACTTACATCTTTGATGTTAGACGGCAAGACTGTCACCTACAGCGACAAAAAAGTGACCAAAAAGAAGAAGATCAGTTTTCCTCCATGCCTATAACTAACGGGATGGGCAGCTTCAGACATGTGTTACAGGTGCTTCTGAAAAATTCAAAATAGACGGCCCCTCGCACACTTCAATAAAGCGATCTCGAAGTGCAACTGACAGACAAAGAAGGAAATTACCTGGATTCGGTTTTTCTTTACGAGAAGATTATACAATAATCTTCGACGTACTCAAAAAAGTAAAGGCCCCTGGCCAGAACATCATGGATCAGGTGATGCAAGAATGGCACCTGCTGGCTTATGGTTATGCTCATGAGCTGTGCATTCAACTCAATGTAGAAGCACTTCAGAACGTGCAAAATGAGCCCAAGGATCCCTTTCAGTCCTATTACAGCTGGTAACTCATGAGCGAGCAAGGGTACATGTCAACGCAAATGAAGGATGCACAGCTTGAATACTAGTTCTTGAAGAACCTACTGGCTTCAGAAATCAACTCCACGAACGATAGGAATTGGGCATTGGTGTTGGGGGATCGTGATATGGTACACGCAGAAGCAATACTGAATAGCCAGGTCAGATCCGAACGTAAGTCGATCATAACAGAACGACCAAACGGTCACTAAATCCAAGTCAACGTGACAATACACGCCATCGTTTTCTACAGCAGTTGTGCAGCAGGAGAGGTGAACGTCGACACGGTTCGAACCACCAGATGCTGCCTCCTGCTCTCCTCCACAAGTGACCAATGTCGGTGTAGACAATCACCACGACACGTAAGTCCTTCAATTACCATCACACAAGCGTAAACAAATTTAAAAAGTTGGTGCGGCATGTCGCTGGCAACCAACTGCTGCAATCACGGAACGAAGAAGCTGTGAAGAAAATCAGGTTTCCACAAAGCAAAACAAATAAATCTCCCAAATTGTATAATAGAATTACCTCCTGACGCGAGACATCAACACGTTTCAATTTGTCATCCTTCGCTTTTTTGAACGTTTTGGTCAAATCCTGTGGCAAAAGATAAAGTAGAACAGAAATGAATACTGGCGAGAGACGAGAATCATAGAGTAAAATTCAATATGACGGGTACGCAGGCTCAATGGGTAAGCAACAGAGAACAAGAACGGATTTCCTAGGCAGTGACAGTAAAATGTAGCATGTTGCGCGATCCGAAACATAACAGGAACAATGAAGTCATCAGTGATCGTCAGCACTTACCACTCCACCAGTGGCTTTTGTACTCTCTTTCTTGCCCTTTCCTTTCGTGCCCTGGTGAGATTCTTCGGGCACGACCACCACGACACCCCTCGTCTTTCCTCGGCCGCTTCCAGGGCTAACAGCATCACACAAGAGAGAACCGGGTAAGAGAATCTCCGTAGTCCTCCCTAAATAAAGTAGGACTTACCTTCTCCCCTCTGAGTCGCCCATCACAGCTCGGACTGTCCAAAGAAGCGGCACGCAGGTGAGCTGATACCTTTTTCAGTACGACTATAAAATACAGCAACAGCTAGGAAAGTCGTTCTCCAAGTCAGGCTGCCACAATAAGTGTTCACCACCAAAGAAAATCAAGAGGAAGAAGTGTCGACTATGTAACAAGAAATGCGCCACGATCACTTCGAGCTTCCCTCTGTGCTGATCAGTCAGCGAACAACAGGATCACACTGTGAGTGTGTGTCGACTACGTGAGTAGACCAGTCTATTCAACCATGGTCAACCATGGTCAACACTGGTCAACCGTCTTATCTCTCCTCGGGCATGCATAATCAGGAGAAAATGCGCTGCATGCAGGTCTGTCTCAGCAGCGTGCAAATGCATGCTGAGAAAAAGGAGTACTTTTTTGTTGTAGTACTTGTAGATCTACCGCGATGCGGGGTACTAAAAAACGGTTTTTGGTACTAAAAAACGGTTTTTTAGTACTCCGTGCACTAACCGGCGCTAGGCTAGCCGGCTGCACATGCAGGATCCTATCATCGACCTATGCATGCTGAAACTGGTCATCTCATCTGGCTTTCACCTCCAAACATTTCCTACTCACAAAGTGCTACATGTATACAGTACACACTGTATACAGTCTCTTTTGTTCGACGTTTACCTCTACAAAAATGTAGTTAGCTATCACGGTGTCAGCTGCTCGTTGTCAAAATTATGTCAAAGCTCTGTTGGCAGCAGCAGAGAGAGAGAGAGACAATCACGCTCAGCAGTGCGGTGCATACATCGATACATCTCCGGCTCCTCTCTTTTTTTCGTATTACAGCGTACCAATTCGAATTCGAAAATGAGTACACATGAGACTTCTTTCTCGTGGAATTCTGTTTTCGATTGGCTCCGATCTGTTTACGATTCCGGTTGGCTCATCTTTCGTGTGCTTTTTAGTCGTGTCAGAGGGCTAATGTCATCAACGGAGAAAATCGTCCTGAACGTGGGGTCAGGCAGTGATGCCGATCCCTCTTCAAAACATAGACCCGCTGAGGTCGTCGCCTCAGATATGCAGAGATTCATGTTGAACCTGAAGGGCTCTTTCATGCAAGATGACGGTCGTGGCGTAGATTATGCCTCCATCAAACGAAGTGATGACTTCGCTGAGTTCCGGGAGAAATGCAAGGAGTTGCGGGGTGTTGATGTTTCCCTGCTTGACGAGGACAACAAGAAAGCATTCTTTCTGAGTAAGTGTTTATTTAGAAATAAAACATCAAGAGTCTGGGAAAACGCGTTTTGAAAATTCTAGACTGTAGCCAACTAATTACCTGCTTTTACACTTTTACACCAGATCAGGATTGTTTCAATCTATTATGTTCTGCTCCTCTGACGCACAAGTATTCTTGAGTAATCACCCATGGAATGGTACAGAGTATCTTGTCACAGAAAATTATAGGGGATGTATGGTCCAAAATCAAATGTTCACTACTCGTAGTCTTCAGGGTGCCGGGTCGAATGGTCTTGGTCCGAGGAAGCTGAGACGCTCCCTTCCTCCTTTATTCCCAATCGAACTTGCCACTTCCACTGAAACTGGGTGACTGCGCCCTACTAGATGGGGATTTGTATGCAAAATGCCACTAAGAGCGCCATTTTGTTCTTATACAGATGAACGAGATTGGCCCAGATGTTGTAGTCTTTTGGATGCTGAGTCGACTGGTTTTGGTCCGAGAAGGCTGCGATGCAGCGTCCGGCCCTTATTCCCAATCGAACACGGTTGAGTAAGCGGTCACGTGCTGATGCGTGCACCAGTCACCTGGTCACCGTGCCTGCATGCTACAACTTTCACACCAAGGTTCAACTCGAGTGACAGGAAAGCGCCCTAAACAGGCTGTAAGTAATTACAGTAGTTGTAGCATGCAGGCACGGTGACCAGGTGACTGGTGTACGCATCAGCACGTGACCACTTACTCAACCATGTTCGATTGGGAATAAGGGCCGGATGCTGCATTGCAGCCTTCTCGGACCAAAACCAGTTGAATCAGCGTTCAAAAGACAACATATGGGCCAATCTCGTTCATCTGTGCTTTTAGAAGAACGAGATGGCGCTTTTGGTGACATTTTGCATACAAATCCCCATCTACAATGTTGCTCGATGAAATCCAGTCGCACCACTCACGTACGTGCCGGGCGTTGCGCAGCCCTAGACCTGCGAACACTGGGCTGCGAAATGGTGCAAGGTGCAGACTTGAACGACGCGGCTGGATTTCATTGAGCAGGACTGTAGTAGGGCACAGTCACCCAGCTTCGGTGATAGTGGCGAGTTCGATTGGGAATAAAGGAGGAAGGGAGCGTCTTAGCTTCCTCAGACCAAGACCATTTGACTCAGCACCCTGAAGACTACGATTAGTGAAAAATTGACCCTTTCCCTGCCAAGCCTTGACCCGGGGTGCTGGCCACGTAATGGTGAACGCAAACTTACAATGCACTCACCTGCATGCTCAGGTTCAGAACTAAATGTAATGTATTAGATTGTCACTTCACATTGATGGATTTTCACGATCTATGGCTTGTTGGAAAGATCTGGATTTGACAAAGACGCCACGATAGTTTCCAGCTCAAAATACATGCCAGGAAGACTGCTATATTGGCAACAGTCTGCAGCATCACCATCCAGTCCCTCTAACTCTGTGATATCAGGATCCGGAAGAGTTTAACCGTTCCATCCATATTCCAAGCATGTGTCAGAATACCCACAAGAGAGTTGAGTGTTATTATGCAGAGAACCCCTTTGATACCAAGCCAGGAACGTACTTCAGAAGTAACTAACTCACACACACACACTCTTTCTCTCTCTCCCATTGTGCGTGTGCGGACTTTGCTCTCTGCGTACCCGTGGCTTGTCTAGATGTTTACAATGCTCTGACTGTGCATGGCCTGGCTAACATGGAGAGCCTGCCATCCAGTGTGCTGGAGGCACAGGACTTCTGGAGCAGAACGTGCTATGACATTGGTGGCCATGTGTACTCGCTGGATGACATTGAACATGGTATCCTGAGAGGTGAGCATTCAAGTCTTTGAAACTCCCCAGATCTTCATCATTTTGCAAGAACTGTGGCAATAAGCCCAGCGATAAGGCAGATTTTGCCTGTGCTTCTGGTGAAGTAAAATAAAGCTAAACACAAACAGATACGCTGTATTCCTGCACTGTGCCATAGAATTCTTGCGCCGCAGTTTCATGCAGCAGGGCGAAGGGTGAAACTCGCGTTGCAATGGAGTTTCCTCCACCCTGCCGGTGGATGTTGCGCACTTCCTGGGCACTGGAGTTGGAAAGCCCTGCTGATGTAGGTTTAGAATGTGGCGTGTACAGAGCACTATACCCTTCATCCTCTTTTCCCGCAGTTTTGTTTGCTTTTGTAACTGCAGTTCCCCGTACTTTCTATGTATGTGCTGCAGCAAATCGACCGCATCCGGCCAAGAAACAGCCGTGCTTTGCAGAGGACGATCCTCGCCTGTCGCTCGCCATGGACAAGGTCGATCCCAGAATTCACTTTGCACTTGTTTGTGGAGCGAAGGTGAGCGCTGCTTCCAACAGGTTGGCCTATGAATACTACAAATCAGGTTTCAATATACATGTATGTATAAGTCTCCACGGGCCATAAGAAGCTGTGCTTGGTACGTATATGTACATGTAGAGTCAGAGGTCAGATGACTAAAAGAGCATGGACGGGATCCTCAAAAAGAAATTTTGTCTACATGTATATTAAAATCAGCAAATAACTTATGCTATTGTAGATTGTAGGGGTCAAACGGTTGTACAGGTAAAACCTGCTCCAAAGACCACCTGGACTCAGCGGCCACCTGCTGTGGACGACCGTATTTGTCTGGCACCGTCCGTTTCACGGGCATTCTGACTCGCATTCAGCGACCACTCGCTCGACGCGACCAGCGACCGGCTTACAACTGGTACCGATCGCCAGTTCAACGACCACTTCATGTACTACAGTAATAAAAAATAAATAAAATAAAAAAACTTCACGACTTGAGTATAGGGGCGCGCGGATTATGCTCGCACGCACCCGATATTATGCTTTCGGGCATTTCCCGCGGAACTTCGAAAGTTCTCTCCCAAAACATCGAAAAAATTCTCAAGAATTCCCCCCCCCCCCCCCCCCAAAAAGAACCCCAGCACGAACCGTGCCTTGCGCATGCTCTTTAGTATGCAAAATGGACGGTCAGGCACGTGATCACTGCATGCAGGATCTACACGTACATGTACTGACTGTACACAGCTACTATGTACTCAGGCTGCGTCCATGGATGCGCGCTTGTTCTCTGTTCTCTGGGCCTCTGGCCGGTCAAACTTGACAGAATTCCCCCAAAACTCTTCTGAAGGTCAATGGATCTGGCAAAAGATCGATAGAATTCCCGTAAAATTCCCAAAATTTTCTCATCGATAGTATTCCCAAATTATTCCGGGAATAATCCGCCCACCCCTACTTGAACACTCGATCTGAAAATCGTTTTCCGAAGTTTTGCGACCACGCCGTTTTTTTTGTTGTGGTACGGTGCATGTACAAAGCACAAAGGTCAAATCGTTCTGGTTTCTTGTGCTGTCTCTCAGTGCCACCACATGCATGGCTTGTACACTACAAGTAGTACAGTGCACTACAATGTATCAGTACTTCACTATATCACTCCCCTTTTAAGTTACGCACTTCACCAATGCACAGCACGAAGTGCGAGGATTCATTTGATACCCATATCACCATATAGGGAGATCACCTGCTTTGAAAGACCACCTGTTTATAAGACCACTTTGGGCTGGAACCATGCGTGGTCGCTGAAACCAGGTTTTACCTGTACCTTTAACTAACGAACGGGTAATTTTCTTAACGGGCGGGTTAGCGGGTATTCTTTGGCAGCCATGTTTATTTTGCGCATTTCTCACATAAATCATGATTTAAAATACTAGATTGGGCGTCACTTTTGTGGTAGGTCTGATCTCCTCGCCTCCCACTGTTTTAGGAGTTGCATCTCCGCCTTAATCATTGAGGGTGGTGGTGTTCTTACGGATGCGGGAAATCAGGCTAACTGGCTCTGACGCGAACCGTAATTTGTTCTACATAATTATAACTGGGCGCAGAAGAGAAGTGCTGTGAGAAGTGCTGTGCGCCTTTTCAGGGCATGACAGTATATGTATGAACTACATGTACAATATAGGCTTCTCACAAGTGCTTATACCGGCTGCGTTTGGCATAGGACTAAGTGAGACAGGCCCCCCTCCCCTCACGATTTGAGTCCCTGTGAGTGAGACTGCATCCTGCCCCCGAGTTTCAACCCCTGTGCGTGGTAATGCCTCGCCTGATTTCGAACCCTGATTACATGTCTTGTGGTGTGCTGACACTGCCCTGCTGCTGTCTGTTTGGTGTTTCGTTGTTGTATTTCAGTCCTGTCCTCCCATCAATGTGTACTCGGCAAAGAACCTCAACTTTGGCCTGGAAGCAGCGACGCGGAACTTCTGTGACGGTGAAGTTCGAGTCCAGGATAGCAAGGTTAGTTGCTCGGTCCACTTAGAAAATGTGTGGGATTCCTGCTGGTGATTCAAAGTTAGAAAGGCAACTACAGTTGTACGGACTCCAGTTAACAGTTGTATCTAAGATGTAATTTCAGGTGGACTAAAATTTCGGTGTCAGGGACCTGCCAGGTTTCAGGTGTAATGTAGAATTAGGTGACCAGCCTACCCCACGGCTGTTTTTTTGTGCGATTTCACGCCACTTAACAATATGGCCGCCGAAAGTCTCGATTGGGCTTCAATGGCAAGAAAATTTGAATTTTCAAATCGTCAGAACACGAGTAGGCCATGGTTTCCCCTGGATTTTGGAGACTAGTCAGCCCGGACAGCCCGGGGAACACGCTGATCATCTGCGTCTTGTTTCAAGCTTTCCGCTCGTACCTCACATGACTGCCTTTCCTCAAAGAAACATTTGTTCTGTGTCGTGCGACTTTGGCTTCGTTCTGGAATACTCCTTGTGTCGTCGCTGACAAACTCGGCTCCGAGAAGCCCTTCCCGATTTTTTCCCAGCTTAGGTCGATTTTTTCCCAGGTAGAGGACTATCCTCTGGTTGTCTTCCCCAAGTGTCATTAGAATACGCGCGTGAACTTCTAAATACGCGCGACGAGTCAGGAGCCTGTTTTCTCTTGATTTGGAAGACAAAATGGTGTGGCCCTTTAGTTGCTGTTGAGTGTAGAATGCTGCTTCCTGCTGTAAATTGCTTAGTCGGCATGTGGGATATTGTAGAAGAAGACAGCAGCCGGCCAAGTGAGCTTGAAATTGTGATATCTACCCTATTGTGCGTTGAACGATTACGAAATGTCTAACTTGAATGTTGTACACGCGAGCACGCCAAGCAGAGGCTGACAATCACTGGCGAGATCAATCTCCAGACTGCCAGGAGTACTTCGAGCAAGTTTGAAGCGGAAAGACAGCTAACTGGGCAGGCCAGGATGCCTTTCCACCCTCTTTCTCTCTCAAATTGCCGAAAAGTCGAGTATCTCGCTCGAGCGCTTTCAAAACTTTTCTCTTGGTTTCGCATCCCAAATCGTGGAACCACGCGAGGATCGACATGAGTTTCTTGCAAAAACGCAAACTCATCGCGTATTTGTACTATTCGCACAATGTTACATAAATCGCACCGAACGACGCCATATTGATAAGTGCCTGCACGTGAACAGCCGTGACCCTTCATATACAGTGCATACTCTAGCGCCTTTTAGGGGTAATCTAAATTTAGGTGCCTGGTTTCTCTACCGAAATTAAAGTTACACCAAAATTAGCATGTTATGCAGTGCTTCAATGTGAGTATCGTATCTATGTGTGACAACGGGAATGTTTTTTCAGGTTGTGGGCACATGTTTGGATAGTTAGAATGTCCAGATATTACATTAGAAGTTTCCCCCCGGAATTTGGGGTTGGAATTATCAGGATTCCACCTGTAGTTACGTCATACATCTTTGGCACACCATCCGATTCGGGAGTACAAATTTCACTGTGCTCGGTATTTATGTGTCTCTCCCTTCTTTGCTGCTACAACTTTAGGTTTCTATGTCCAAGATCTTCCTATGGTATGGTTGTGATTTCGGAGAATCGGACGCCGAGAAACTCCGGTAAGTAACCTTTTTCCTCGCTGTGCTTGCTTCAACCGTGGTAGGGGGTCTCAGCTCTGCATGAGGAGAACACAGCAGATTTCTTTCAAATAATAATTGTTGCGCTATTTTTGGGTTTTCTTGGTCCCATTTGTATCTATGCAGAAATCGTGAACCGGAGCATGTGAAACCACTTGACTAAGGGGTCGTCACAAAGGGTTTTTTGTCGTCCCTGAGACGAACATCATTCATTCGGGGAAGAGGGGGTGCGAGCCAAAATCGCAAGTCAACCGACACTGTACATATGTGATGTACCGGGTACATGCGTGTGATTTTTGTCGTCCAGCATAGCAAGCTGTGTTCGTTTCAGAGGGAGGGGAGGGGGTCTGCGTCTCTGCAACGGCAGAACTTCTCATCACGTGATGAACCCGTACACACTTTTTGCACTCTGTGCACGATAGGGTTGGTTCACATAAGCCAAGTCGGCGCCGGGAAGCACCGGCGCCGGCGGTGAGCCAGCTCCCGATCCATCCCGCATATGGTTCGAGTACCAAATCTACTACAAAGTCACTGAGCACGGAATGTGTCCGAATGCTACGGCAGGTTTGCCAATTGCAGCTTGAATTTTTCTTCTTCAGTAGTTCAAGGTCTTTCGGTGATGGCCACTCGGTGCTATCTTTTACTGGAGATCATGAAACTACTTCTACACCTTTTATTGCAGTCTAGTAGCGATGGTGTCGAAATTATGCATGCAAACGTTGATGAAGTCACAAGAACTTGCCAATGTATACTTCGTATTTTTTATTTGTTTCAATTGTATTTGTCTCATAAGTCGCAAAATAGTCAAGGAGATCATCCGAAGAGGACGGATTGGTATGCTGACTTAATTTTGCCACCTTGAAGCGACTGCAAGAATGGCGACCGGACCTCATCTTTAGCTTCAATTTAGGAAAATTTAGGACGAGTCTTGGTTTGAAATTTTGACAAAGTCTAGGTCCCGGCACCGGCCCGAAAGGTTCACAAACCACTTTTGGTCAAAATTCTACGGGATCGGTGCCGGGGCAGATCGCAAGAGTTGGGCACTGCGATTATTTACCGTATGATTTTGTTACGACTGCGTTGGTTCACATAATCGCAATGCGCCAGGTGTGGTTGCAAGAGGCCCACCACCGGTGACTCCCGGCGCGTACCGGCAATATGTGAACCAACCCATAAATACAGGGCTATACGCAACCCAGCTTTGGCTTCAACTCTCTTGTGGTCACTTTGCGCTGTTTGCTAGCGTAACCTTTTGAACCATGTCACGTGATGTGAAGTTCTGCCGTCGCAGCACTGCATAGAGGCTGTGCAGGCAGTTGCACACGTTTGGGGGTTATAATATAACTTGATTATATTCTTGATCAGAGCAATCGTCAGTAAACGTATGCGTAGGTAGGTTCATGCTGCACAATGCATGTCGTGCATCGCCTATGCTGCTCAAGTACGACATCACTAACCTGGGGTCGCGTTGCAGAAAACCACGGAGCGGTCTTCCATCCGCCCCACCTCACGGAAGGGTTTGAAGCTCTCTGGCGGGAGTTTCTATGACCCTACACTTGTAGTATTTATTTTTTTGTACCCCCCCCCCCCCCACGTGTCACTTTGGAACACTTTGTCTAGCCTGTGTGACTTCTGTGCTGGTTTTGTTCAATGCCAGGTGGTGCCTGCCATATCTGAAAGAAGACAACTCGGCCGAGGTCACGCGTCTTCTAGATGCTGCTGGGGACGGTTCGCTGGGCTTTCTGTCTTACCACGCGTACAACTGGCAGCTGAACGGCAAGGCGGACAAGGAGAGCTGATGTGTCTACTTCTTGAAATCATCTCCTCGAGCTGGTGCTCGTTGAACGCTGCACACACGCGCGCGCGTCCTTCTACACCGGGTGCGTGTTGTGCTTTTTCGGTGCATGTTGTTCCACCTTGGCACCTTAAACATTCATTGTATATTCTGCACGGCTGGCCCTGCAGTTTTATATTTTTAGTTGCAGTATTTACACTATCCATGCAAGTTGTTGAATCGTGTGGCTCGTCGAGCCAGACACTGCAATACGCTGGTCACTGGCAAAGTCCCCATCTGCTTTTATTCTGGTACTTTATCTGAAATCTACCTACTGAGTCATCGGAATATTTCTTATATGTTTGTACACATACCGGGTGTGCTATTTTCAGCACAGCTCTTCACATTCCATAGGGTGGCTCATTGGTTGGGTTCTCCCCAGGAGAACAACAAGATACGACTCCAGTTGATGTCCAGTCATCGTGACCTTGTTTGGGCGAAACATAATCATTGCCACATTGGTCACCAGAGGCACTGTTCCTACCAGGGAGTAGTAAAATTATACTAAAATACCTTCACTACTTCCTGGTTCCTATGCCTATGACCAAGAGTAGATAAGCAAGAGTGTGCAACTCCGGATCTCTCCTGCACAATCTGCAGATACCCCCGCCCGCGGCGGAATTTTTTGTTGACGTCACCTTTTTTCAGAGAAACGCGGATTTTGCCGCAGAGCAGTGTGAGAGCACGTGCTGGGCACCGACCTTGTAGTGTAAAGCCAACCCATCCGCGAGCCGCACACTCTTGTTTATCTACTCTTGCTATGACTAAGCACGGCAAAGTGAGTTGTACCTAAATCGATAATAATTATCGTCTCAATCTGCGGACAGAACTGTTCCGTCCTTTGTGGAGTCATCAGTGCATCATGGAGAAAATGAGGCCGAACCTGATACAGTAGCAATGAAAAAAATTAATAATTAATTATCGACTTTAGGTACTGTACAGGCAGAAAATTTCGTCGGTCAATAATTTCGTCCTACTCCGAAGAAAAGGAGTTCGTCCGGTTGAAAATTTAGTCCATGGACCATAAGAGTGTATTGAAAAGCTAGACAAATCTACATTCGTCCTGCATTTAATTTAGTCCAAAAGCTCCTTGGACGAAAAAGACGAAATTAATTTCCAGACGAATATTTCTGCTTGTACAGTATACGAAATGCGGTATTCATCAGGTTGACGGGAATCGCGAATGGGAAAAGTCTGAAGAAAAAATTGACTGTCACCAACAGGACTCAAACCAGGGACCCTTGCTTAGCGGTGCTCTACCACTAAAGTAGAGTCACGCGCCGTAGAACGCCCAGCCTCAAATGCCAAGAACGCCACGGCCTCAACTTTAGTCAAGACCAGGGATTCAGTACGAATTGTTTCTAAGAAGAAAGAACGTCCCAGGCTAACCCCTTGCAGACAAAGTTATTGGGCGCATGACTCGACTGTAAGCCATGGTGTAGTCGTCATCCAAGCAGCGACTGTTCAGTATTTTCTTCGAATATGAGTTTGTATTATTACCGTAAAGTACCGCCAGAGCGCCCCACCATCTCGTCCTTTCGTGGCCGCCTTGTGGAGGTGGATTCCTGTCTGTAGGTCATACGACACGGACTTTGTACGAACATTGCACATTGTGCAGTCAATCCGTACCAAGTTTACCTTCGAGCGCGACATAAAAGCATACCAAGTGTGACCTTAGTACACGAAGGTTCTCACATCGTGCAAACTTATAGTAGCATCCTGCCATACGATTTTCTTCTCTTGGCTGTAAAATCAAGGTGGGGCGCTCTGGCGGTACTTTACGGTACAGTAAAACCTGTCAAGGCGACCACCTGTCCTAGAAGACCGCCACAACCAAGGGAAATAACCCTGGATAAGGAGACCACCTGGTATCAGAGACCACATTCTGAAGGGCCCTTGATCATTGAGCAGTCGTCTTAGACAGGTTTCACTGTAATGGTGTGTACATCACTAATTCAGAGCACAGTCTGACGTGGCTACTGTGTGCAGTTCACTCTTAGTCTCTCACTGATATGTCGTGCATTCAGTTCTAATTTTAGGACAAAATTGCATGACTTAGCGAGGGTGCGGGACTCATGGATACTGCAGCACGAGCAAACTGTGCCGGGGGCCGGGGAGCACCGCATATTGCATGGTGTGAACTGCATGCTCCATAGTCAAGTTCAGCCATGCACTCCTAGATCCTGGGGGGGGCAACAACACCATAGAGTGTACTCTCCATGATGATCATAGTCATCAGACTCATCACTCAACAGATCAGCTTGACTGTCTGCGGCGCTTTGAATTCGATAGAATGCAGCAGTTAAAGTTAGGCTCAAAAATGGCATGGTCATGCCAACGCAAGGAAAAGGAAACATCAAATCTGAAAAGCATACGGTCGAAAACCTACAGGTAAATGGCCTTTACAAAGTACTTACTGCTCCGGAGTATCATTATTGATAGGAACTCCGAATGAAATACTGTGACACTAAACTCTGCTACTAACAATAAATAATAATACTAATAATTAATAGGTTATCTAACGAGCTGACAGCGTGGGGATCATGCCAATAAATAATCCTTTCTATCTATGCCATCCAAAAACACTATAGTGGAATGTGTACAGTCAAGGATACTCGGGCTGACAGTATATTTGCTTGGTCAGGTTTCCCACGGAAAGGGTCGATAGTACCGGTACTTGTGGAGAGAAACAGGATCACCATTGCAAGCTCTGCAGTAGAAAAAGCGCTCAAAACGTTCCGTTTATCTTACTTCAGAGCGTCCACTTCTTGAGCCATTTGTGTCATGACACAGAACGGACAGCAAATGGTGGAGAGGAAGTCCGTAAACGCATTTCCGTCAATGCCGTTGGCCTCGCGCACGTTGCCTCTCAAGATGCACATGGCAAAGCAGCTCACGGCTGGCACGAGGGTCAGGAAGCCGCACAGGCAGCAGCTCTGATCCAACTTCTCCGCAGTCTTGCCAACTGTGTAGCATGGCACAAAGTAGGTCAGCAAACATATGGTGCAGTCATCGCAGCATCCGCACAAACCATGCTGGAAGTCGGTCATCTTGACGGTGGAAAAGTGGTTTTAGTTCAAATGCCAGAGGGAGGAAGACGAGCAGTGTTAGGACAGAACGAAAAGTAGGCTTAGCTTCAGAACTGCCTGACTCAACAACTGAAGCTGGAAGGTCTTCTTGCTCAAAAACAACTGTGTGTACGATAATGTACAATCATTATGCCATGCATTGCAGTTTGCTTGCGGGGATGCAGGTACTAGGTGTGTGTCTAGTCTGTGCAGCTGCGGTGCATGCGCATTTCCGGTGGCTTTGTTCTGTTGTATACGTGTAGGTTGTACTTGCCATTTTTGGAGTACAAATGACGCAGATCTACCATATATGCATATGCTGTGCGCGCCTACCATATCCAGGCCATGCCATGTGTGCACATGTGACACCTTACATGACTACAATCATGTCACTCATGATGCTGGCGCATGCCATATTCAGCCTTTCAGGAGGCCGAGGGCTACATCGACATGGTCATAGTCATGGCCCAAATTTGCTCGGCCTACTTCGATATTTTGCCGCACAATTCAAAGTTGCCACAATTTTTTTCGATATTCTGCTTGGCATTTCCTTTCTCCGTCGGTATTTTGCTTTGGTTTTGCTCGAGATGAAATGAGTTCAATGGAAAACTCAACGATAATTGTCGCTGATGACGACGATATTTTCGATTGAGCTCCTGCTGCTTCTCAACTTTCCACTGAAATGTAGCCATGAGTCTGTTTTCTAAACTGTTGTGCTTGTTTTCAACCTTGGTGACTGATTGTGTCGAGGAAGTCCCTAAGAAGCCTTGGATTTTTCGAAAAGCCCACCAAAACTCGATATTTTGCCGGCTCAAAACTTGCCGGAAACTTGCACATCCGATATTTTGCTCAAAGAATTGCTAGCAAATTTGGGCTATGACTACCGAGGGCACCCCCGGGTCCTACGATCTGTGCAGTGTACTCAAGCGAGGTACAGCAGCTAGGGCTTGATGGCTGATCAAAGCCCGAGGGCTTTGATCAGTCATCAAGCCCGACTGTACCTCGCTTGAATATGCTTCAGACGATCCCCAACAATTTTTTTGATTCAATTGCTTTATTCTTTGGGTAATCTCGAATGTGGACCGTGAATGTCGGCCTTTCTTTTGGGATTTCAGAGCAGCCTGAACTAGCCCTGAAGTCTAAAGTCACCTTGAAAAGACTGCGATTGGGCATGATCGATCAGGGCTTTGATGGTTTTCGCGGGTTGCCCCTGACAGCGGGCTTTGATGGAATATCAAAGCCCGCTCTCCGAGGCTGCTGATTGGTCGTAACCTAGCAAAGGGCACGTGGGTCGTTTCAAGTGAAAAAGAGATCCTGGAGGGATGGACTCGTAATGCAATGGTACATTAAACTTTTTAATAGCAATTAGAACGAGGTCAATCCCGTTGCCTAGGAGCTGACCAATCAGCAACTTTCCCGCCGCGGGCCTTATCAGAGTTTAAGGTGGCAGTCTGGGTTCAGAGGGTCAAAAAACAAAGTTTCGATTTTCTGTATTTTTTCACTGGCAGCGTCTTGTGTATGGTCCAAAGGGTTTATCCTGAAAATTTGAGCGTAATCGGGTGCTTCCTTCCGGAGATATAGCCGCGCAAAGTCTGCACAATTGTTTTTGAAATACTGAAATATCAGCAAATTTCTACAAAATTTAGGTTTGCACACTATTCCGATTTTTACCGTCAATCTTTGAGCGATTTCATTAAAATTTTCTGGAGCGACTCCTGGTACTCCTCTGCGCTGCAGACTGACAGCCGCGCACGATCTTTGTCACCATGGCAACCAAGATAACTTTTGCGCATGCGCAAATTCAAAAAAATTCAAATTTCGACTCTCATGATCTCAGCTGATCGCTCTGCTGTTGAAACTAGTTACTTTTGGAGTAATTGTTTTGGAGTAATTGTTTCTTGGAGCTAACCCCTTCGTTGGCTACTATGGGGAAGTCTAGAGCCAAGGGAAAGCCCGGACGATCTAAGAAAAGGAAAAGAACGTTCTATGGAGTGTCTCAGGCGCCGAAGGCTCCCTCTGGTGAAATTTCGCCTGCAAAACAAATTCCTGACTTGCCACTGTCTGATGACGACCTTGAAGTGTCAGCTGAAGCCACGTCTTCAAACAGCGATAGTGATGGAAGTGGCGGTGAAGTCGACAGCAGTTCCTCCGACAGTGACTTGGATGAAGAGTGTGAGGAAGGGGCGCATGGATTTCGCCTGATTGATCTCGAGTGCCTTCAGCAGCTTTTGTCAGCTGCAGTTTGTTGCAGTGGCTGTAATGGCGCAGTCACGATCAGCGAATCGCAACGGGGAGGCCTTGCATCATGCCTGGAGCTTTCCTGTGTTAACTGCGGCGACATAGCAAGCGAATTTATGTCCAAGAAGTTCAATCGGGTCTGGGAGGTGAACAGACGAGCAGTATTCGGAATGCGACTGATTGGCCGTGGACGTCAATCAATGGTAAAGCTGGCGGGTGCACTGAATATGCCATCACCTATGAGTCGGTCGACATTTTACAGCCATGCTAAAGGCCTGCATTCCGCGTCCAAGAGCGTCGCTGAGCGTAGCATGACTGAGGCAGCTGAGAAAGCAGTGTCCGCAGCAGATGGGGGTAGCGATATCGCTGCTTCCTATGACGGTACCTGGATGCGCCGAGGATTCGCATCGCTCTTCGGAGCCTTCACTATAATTGCATATGATGTCGGCAAAGTGGTGGACTGCGAAGTGCTTTCAAAGTTTTGCCACAAGTGCACGCACTTGGCGTCTAGAAAAGAGAAGGGAGAGCTAACCAAAGATGACTATGATCGACAGATTGCCGAACACGATTGCTCAGTCAACACCACTGTATCAGCTCCTGCCATGGAGAGTGCAGCCGCCAAGACTCTGTGGGCCAGGTCCTTTGAGAGCCGCAAGCTGAGGTACACCACCTACATTGGTGATGGAGATACCAAGAGTTTTAAGGCTGTGCGTGACGCTTGTCCGTATGGGCCCGAGGTGCCTGTAGTCAAGGAGGAATGTGTCGGCCACGTTCAAAAACGCATCGGTACCAGCCTAAGAAAGCTGAAGAAAAACCTTGCGGGCAAGAAGCTTGCTGATGGGCGCACTATAGGCGGACGTGGTCGCCTCACGGATGCCATGATCGACAAGCTGCAAGCCTACTATGGCATGGCTGTGCGGAACAACAGCGGAGACTTGCAAGCCATGGCCAGGGCCATATGGGCATCCCTCATGCATCGTGCATCCAGCGACAGTAAACCTCAGCACCAGTATTGTCCGCCTGGAATTAACAGCTGGTGTAGATGGCAGCAGCAACAGGCAGGTGGTGATGTCTACGCCCACCACAATATCCTGCCAGAGGCAGTATGGAAGGAACTGAAGCCGGTCTACATTCGGTTGTCCGACCGGAGTTTGCTCGAGCGCTGCCAGAAGGGTGCTACGCAGAATCGCAACGAAGCGTTCAATGGACTCGTGTGGCAGTTGTGTCCAAAGACAGGCTTTGCATCCGCTCCCACTGTCCAGATGTGCGTCTACCTGGCCGTGGCCTGGTTCAATGATGGAGGTGTGGCAGTGAAACGCGTTCTGGACGAGATGGGCCTCCCTACTGGACACCATACGACACGTCTCATCAAGCTGCTAGACCGTGAGAGACAGGCACATGCTGCCAGAAAGAAGTCAGAAGAAGGGAAGAGGTCACGAAAGAAGCGAAGGAGGATCAGGAAAGGCATCCAGGATGAGCAGCAAGAGGAAGAAGGTTTGACATATGAAGCTGGTGGCTTCGACTAAGTTCTAGTAAGTTCTAGTTGGACAGACATACCTCCATCTGTACTTGCACAGAGCACTTTTTTTCTCCATTTTCCACTGAGTCCCGTACCTCTTAGACAGCGTAGCGAAGAACCTGTAAGTCACAGACCCCATAAACCATACATTTTTGGAAACTGTGAGCATTTATCAAGGTGCTAAGTGTCATGGATTTTTATATTTGTCTAGTAGCTTTGAGTAAAGTGCTACTGATCGAGGACCTAAATTTTGCGCGATTGCATGATTTTTGTTTGACAGCTTGAGTACTTTGTTCTGAATATGATTTCAAAATTCCGCTCCACTTAGCACCTAGGTATATGTGAAGGAAATCCTGTGGAGCACTCAGTTTCTACCCAGCTTCTTTCTGCGTTTGCATATTGCGTCTAAGGTATTGGTGGTACGGCATAATCGCAGATTTGACTATTGTGTCTGCGGATTCCCATGTGTGAGCTTGATTTATACTTCATTGGACTTAGTGAAATACACTGGGTATGTGGTCAAGATTTGAGCAAAATTCATCAATTATTATGGAAGTTACGGCTGTGTTCATGCGGTCGGGCCGCGAACCCAGACTGCCACCTTAAAGCCCGCTCACTTGTAATTTTACTACTCTTTGATAATGAAAACTGCTTTATGGTCACATTCTAGGCCTGGACATGTCCAAGGCGTTTGATACGATTAACTGTATGTTTGCAATAGAACGTTTGCACGATGTCAAGCCAACCACACAGCCATTTAGAGATAATTATTATATTGCGGTGATGCAACCATGGATAATATGGGGCGCAACGGACAGTTCGGTTTATGTATTTTTGGTAGCCCATAGAGACGTGGCCGGACGGAACCAATGGGCCGCATTTTGAAGAACTCTTCCTCCGATATCTGTTTACTTTTGGCACTGTATTTTGTTCTCGTAACACATCATTGAATGTATATTTGATCATTGTTCAGCATGGTTACTCTTCAGTCACGACTTTCCACTAATGAATGTGACAAGAAAATTAATTCTGGTAAACTTTCATGACTTCGTTGTAGTGTGGCGATGACTGCAGAATTTGTTCTCTTTATTGCTATTATAAAATTGTTGTCTCCACGTCGATTATTTGATTATTATTATTATGGAAGCTTTCTAGAAAAAGTTATTGTGGTCTAGTCCAGGACCTTCTGTTATAATTATAATGTCTTAGTGACTGAAAAGTGATG